GAATTTGTTATGAAATGTATTCAAAAGTAATAACTATGAAAGACAAAATAAATACAGAGTTATCAGTGGAAATTACAAACAAAAAGTATATTGTGGTAATAGTTGTAGCTCACGCAGCTTATGGTTTCATATATTTTATGTAACGATGAATACTGTAGAAATATATTCTATATTTTCTGAAAATCTTTCTTTTCTTAGTATAATAAATTACACAGAAAATTTAATTATGATTTTTATATTGGAATTCAGTTCTTTAAAATAACCTTAAACGTGAATTAGACAAAGAATCGCTTCTAGTTCATAGATATTCAATATTATAGCTTCTTCAACAATAACATAGCAACAGTTTTTTTCTAGACTCATTAATTATAATATGGTATAATTTGATTACGATATAGCAAATCTACGCAAAGTTACAAGTAGATATGCATCAATATTTCTCAATTTGAAATATTATAAAATTCAGTTACAATTATCATGTTTTTTTTTCTGATTGATTCAGCGGTTACTTGTTGAAGACTCATAGTAATTTCAAAAAATACCCTTCACGATTTGACCTTTACAAATTTTACTTTGAATAATATATCTTTTTCAAAATAAGGTTTGTGAAGATCAAATCGTGAGGTGTATCTTTTGAAATTATCATGTTATTATGACCTGGCTGGCAGGATATATGTATCTAAATTTTTTTGACATAGTTTCACAGACAAATCACGATTTTAATCCAGAAATAGGTTGCTACCTATCTACCGATTTCGACCTTCAAAGTGACTGGAAATTGTAACCATTTTTCATTACGCACCGGTTTGAGAGAAGGAACTGTTTTTCTCGCGATAGAGTTCGTATGGTGTGAAGGGAAATCATAATGTGAATAAAATGTTTGGGGTAACTAACGTTTTTATTTGATAAGAACCAATCTTGTATGCGACTTTAGTAAAGGGTGTTTTTTATAGAGATATAGAACTTTAAGTTGACAATACTTTTTTAACTGGTGGCCATTTTGTCAGCTGCCAAGTGATTTATGTTTAGTTTGGTTTGACATTTGAATAGACTGACGTCTGAACAACGCTTCCACCAGTGGTCCGCGGACCACTGGTGGTCCCTGGAAGCATCCCAAGCGGTCCGCGGAGCCATCCTAATAAATATGTTAGATGAGTCGACACGATACAATGCGACCCGCCGCTAAAATGTTTGAGGAAGAGTTATTACTTTCTCAAGAACCTGAAACAACGTCGCAAGGTGCAGATGTTATGGATACAATAAGTCAATATATGGAGAAATATGAACTTATAAAAATCCGTTTGCAATTACGACAACCCTGCGTTATTTATCGTCAAGTACTAGCTGCCAAGACGCTTCCAAGACGCGATGCTTTGCTTTGACGATGAAAATAGCTATAAAATTAGTCAATTTCATTGAAAAAAAATGCACTCAATACTTGTCTTTTCAAACAGTTGTGTTCTGATATGAACTCTGAACATGAAACTTTGCTTGTCCACACGGAAGTGCTTTGGCTTTCCAAAGGAAACATGTTGTTGAGGTTGTACGAACTAAGAGAGGAAGTAAAATTATATTAACTAACAAGGAAAACAAAGAGTTGTCTGATTAGTTTTGCGAGTCCAAATTTCAAATATATTTTACTTATTTGGTCGATTTTTTGCGCAACTGAACAAATCAAACCTTCTACTTTAAGGGTCCGGAAATTTGAAGTTGCAAGGCATGAGCAATATTTTTGCTTATGAAGATAAAATCGGCTATGGCTAAAATCGAGCTATGGATCAACAAGGTCGGAAGTAATTACTTTTCTGTGTTTGATAAGCTTAATATACAGAGTGCTGGAACTAAAGGAGAAATACAAAAGAACATATTACATTTGAAAAACTTGAAAATTGAATTCAATCGCTATTTTCCCGACCGCGAGGATAAAAGTATTCAGAAACTGATCCGCAATCCATTTATTGTGAACGTTTCTGAGGTGCCTGATGAAGTTCAAGAAGAAGTAATTGATATGGTACACGACAGCAATTTAAAAGATACATTCGAATCAGGAATTAATCTTGAAGAATTTTGGAGCCAAAAAGCAATTTCTTCACCAAAACTTCGAGACATTGCTATTGGTTACCTAACTTTATTTTCTTCGACATATCTATGTTTTCGGCGCTTCTGATTATTAAAAACAAGCACCAAAATCGGTTGGATGCCACTGATGATATGCGTTGAAGTTTATATTAACTACAAACTAATTAACCAACTTGGTGGTCCATGGCCTGACAGAAATTTTGTCAGATGGTCCCGCATGACTATAAGGTTAAGGAACCACTGCTCTAAATGATAATACGCATCCACAGAGACGTCGTACAGTGTATTCAGTGCTGCTGTAGAGCGTAACGTAGACCCGAATCAGTCTATCCGCCATCTGCACAGGAATTGGATATGTATCCATTCACTTTATGGAAGATTAAGTAGAAATATCTTGGTTTGCGTGCTTAAAAAATCCAACTAGTGTGAGAATTGAAGCCACACGATCACCTAGCAAGACGTAGATTCGGTGAATGGACCCAGAACTAGATTGCCGTGCATCCCGATTTTCATAAGCGAATTTGTTTAGCGATGAAGCTCACTTTTGATTGAATGGATTAGTCAATGAAAAAAACTGTTGTATATCTAATTATGATAAACCTCAAGTGTATGTTGAGACACATTTACATCCAGAAAAAGTAACTGTTTGGTGTGCTTTATGGGCTGGTGGAATTATTGGTCAGTACTTCTTCAAAAATGATGCTGGTCAGAACGTTACAGTCAATGGTGATCGCTATAGAGCCATGATTACTGACTTTTTAGTTCATCAATTGAACAACCATGATGTGCAGGAGCTGTGGTTTGAGCAAGACGGCACAACATTTCACACAGCTCGTGCCACAATTGATTTATTGAAGGAAACGTTTGGTAACCGCATAGTTTCACGTTTCGGACCCGTGAATTGGCCTCCAAGATCGTGTGATTCAACGCCGTTAGACCATTTTCTGTGGGGATATGTGTAGTCGCTAGTCTACGCCGATTGACCACTTGGACCTCCAGATTATACTACGTCCGAGCCAGCCGTGGCGGTCATACGCCAGAAGTCATATTTAAATTGAAATGCCAGATTATCTTTCCAAGAAAGTAAATTTCATGTCAATTCAAAAATTCATGTTTGTTTTATTCCATTTCAAAGTTCTATACCTCTATAAAAAGACCCTATACAATTCCATAATAGGCACTAAATTATCAGAATCATCATTGCATTAAAACAAAAAAATTGTTCTCAAGGTTGATGTGAATCTACATATTTTATCATAATTTTTCCTTATCTGTTCAGTATAATTTTCGTACGCCACTGCAACACAGTTTGAGGCAAAAACGTCAGTCATTTCTGATAATTTTGTGCCTACTATTTTGAAATTATAGTATAAATAGCTATTCAATTATCACATTATACAGTGCATTTCTTTAATGTCCCCCCCCCTTTTATTTTTTGAACGGGTCAACTCAAAAAATTGAAATTTGGGATAATGTGGTTAAAATTAGTAGCCATAGAA